ACAACTTCGCATTCGCCGCAGAAACTTCAGCGCCGCGGCGCCTCCAGCTGTCGGGCAAGAGGGGGCGGAGGAGCTGCTGGAAAAAGGCAGCAGGGCAAGGGCGGCTGCAGGTGACCGCTGGCTTGGGGCGCAGCGAGGGATCCGGGCTCCCGGGGTGCAAGAAGAGCTGGTTGCTCAGCGGGAGCAGCCCTCCGCCCTGTGCCCCGGAGCCTCCAGCCGCGCCCTCGTCTCCCCTTCTGCTGCAGCCTGAGGCGCGGAGCTCTCAGCCTGCGTTGCCCAAAGGATGGAGGCCTTGGTGCGGAGACCTTCCCATGGCCGCCTGGCGCCGGCTAATACTCCCTCTGCCTCCTTCCCTCTCGGGCAGCGACCTGTTTGCTGCCCGCCCCAGCCCAGCGGCCGCTGCATCCCAGTAGCTTTGGGCACTTGCGGGGCTCCCACCGGCACTGCCAGGGGGAGGTTAGACGCTGGGGTTACATCAGTAGCTCTCGTTCTGTCTTGGCAGTGCCAGCCAGGGGCTACTGCCCTCTGAGCCTCCCTCCCCAGCTCACCTTGTGTGTCCATCTCCTACTCTGTGCCTAGCTCTGCAACCCTTGAAAGGCTGGGTCAGAGGCAAGAGAAGTCCCTGAGGTGCTCAGGGTTCCCCACAAAATGCTGAAAGCCTTCAAACCCCACCGAGGCCCAAGGGACTTCAAGGTGATCAGGACCTTGTAGGAGGCACTTGCAGGGAATCAGGCCTGTTGCTCATGGAGAGAGGCTGCAAAAGATCTACTGGGTTAGCTTGGTCTATCTCATAGCTAATGCAGGATTCCCCCCTAGCTTGTCTCTCTTGCAATGGAGCTTTAAAGGTCTCAAGAAATGAAAGCTTAAGGACTTCACTGCCCAGGTTCTTCCAACATGATTCTGCCTAAATGTTCCCCTTCATCCCAGGACTTTATTTCACGCGGTACAAAGATATATAAGAGGTCTTAATAATAATAATTAATAATAAAGGTTGTGATTTCCCAGTCAACATCATCTATTAAGCCAATGGTCATGTGACTCCCAGGTTTAAAGTAGGCATTAAATAGCCCTGACTTTGGTATTTTATAACCGAACAAGCCCTAGAAATGCCCCTAGAAATGCATCGCTTTCAGTACATGCTCTTGAGAATAAGCATGATTGGTTGTAAGCAGTTGGTAGCTTCACACTATTACAGTATAAATTGCAAGAAGTAATTTTAACTGATAGCTAAAACCTATCTATTGACTCCAATAATGAGTCAGAAACAAACCCACATACATGGGTCAGTCTCTCTGTTAGCTGCTACAGAAAAGGGCAATCTCCTCTGCTGTGGATTTTTGCTGTTGGTGTGAAGTAGGGTGAACATC